CTTCCTGCTGGTGCCAGTCCAATCCTTGTTTCAGGAGATCTCCAACTTCTTGTCTCACTGCATCAACACCAATCAAGCCGCAGGGGGGAGCAGGAGCAGCCTAGTTCTTTCTCAGAGCTACTCCACACGCTCTGGGCTCTGGCATTTATTCTCTCTCTAGAATCCTCAGATTTAAACTATCTGCAGCTGGCAAAGAGTTCCTCTTAGAGTCCACACAAGGCAAATAGTTTGCTGCTGTGGACCATCTGAATCAGTCCTATATCCCACACCTTGGATTAAAACAAAAACATGTTTATATCCACAATATAAGTAGTTGGCTATCTATCTTTTCATTCCTCAGAGATATGGTTTTAAAATTTTAGGTGCCTACAATATTTGGTGTGGGGCCAGATCAATTGCCTGTTTTATAACCAAGGAGTCTATTGTGATAGTGTTAATTCAAAGACTATTCTGCTTGTAATCGTAGCTGATATTTATTGAGTACATACTATACACCAAATACTAAGCTAAGAGCTTCCCATATACTTTCTCACTTATTCCTCACAGTTCTATGAGTTGGGTCCTATGGTTCTTTCTGGTTACATATTTAGAGGGTGAGATGAAGTAATTTACTTATGGTAAGCCATTGTTAACAGGAAGGACAACAGTTCAAATCCAGACAGGCTCTAAGGTCCCATTACTAGGCTACTTTTTTGTTCTTATTTTAACAGGGAGACATTTAGTGGCCAGCTTGAGTTTGGCAAGCACAGCTCTGGCAGGTTTTGCCTTTCTCCTCAATTTCTCTGCCTTGCTAAAAACCCTCAGGTAACATTCCTAAAGCTAGCCACCAAGGTCTATTCCCTCATTAACTACTTCCTCCTTTTGGTTCAGCTATCAAAGCATTGAATCCAGTAATCAAAAGCCCCCCCTGGCTCACCTAATTAACATGCCCAACTAAAATAAAATACCTCATCCTGACACATGGTTTCCCATTTTACCTTTATGAACTGCCATTTTCCTATGGGCCATGTCTGCCTCCTCTCTAGCCAGAGATAGTCCTTTGTCCGTCTGGGACAAATACCCCTGCCCCCTTTTTCTTGTTCCTTCCCCTTTTCCCCAATTCTCTATTTTCTGTTTTTGTCTTGCATTCCCTGCCCTCTGTCCTTCTCAGGCAAATAAATCTCCTTTGTGCTGAGAACTTGGTCTTGGGGGTCCTAAGCTGATGCCAATCCTAATATTCAGCACCTAAACTTAACTAAATAAACTATTTAAAAAACCATATAGTTTAAATAAGGCTTACAAAGCCAGTAACAAGCACTTTTAGCTGTATTTAATTAAAATACTTTTTCTGATGCCATCAATTTCTTACTCAGAGTTAAATTCTTCTTAGACTGTCCATAGCTTTGACATGTATCAACTAACCTTTCCATTTGTTTTCTGTCTTACAGCCTCTCCCAGATGCCACTGTTTGGGCGGTATATTGATCTTTCTTTTTAGACTACTAATGTGTTCATTTTAGAGGAGACATAGTATTCTGCTGTTAGATGCGGGCTTGGGAGATAATCTTTTGTTTAAAATCTCCTCTTACCACTTGCTGGCTAGGACTCAACAAGCTCCAGCTAGTCCATTAGCCTTTTACTCTGCTGGAATGGGCTGTCTTGACTGTGACTCTGTATTGTTATCTAGCTTCATGAAGTAGAGGCCGAGAAGTCATCAGGCTGCGTGGAACGCACCCAGTGAGACATCTCAGTCCACTCAAATGTCTTTAAGTTATAGCAGCCACAACTCAACTATCATTACCACTACCACAACAACAATAACTGATGTTTATGGGGTGCTTTCTGTATGCTATTTTAAATGATTTTCATGAGTTATTGTGATTATTTGATATTCCTGTCAAGCAGGTGATATTACTTGTACTCTGTAGTTAAAGGATAAAGTTAACATGCATAATAAGTGGCAGGGACTTTTTTTTTTCACTTCTGGGGATCAAATCCAGGACCATATGTTAAGCAAGTATTCTACTGTTGAGTCTCCAGTCCCAGCCCTTGGCTTTTTGAGACAAGGTTTGAAAGGGTTAGACTAACTTTGTAACCTGTATGTCTTCTAAAGCCTATAGTTTTGAGTTTTAGGTTCAGGTTAAGCTAAAGTCTCTTAGTACCTTTCCAGAGAATGAAGAAATGTGACCCTATCTGTGAGGACAGATAGAAAAAAAAGCGAGCAAGCAATGACCTTCATTCAGCAAAAAGAATGACCAGACCCTTGTCTTCAAGATAATGTTTCTTAGCAACCAGCCCAGACAGCCCCAATTCTTCTTCTGAGTAGCTCCTGACCTCCAGCCTAGAGCCCGCAGCCCTAATCTTCAAGGATGAGCTAACCACCCCCACCTTCAATTGCAGCTGCATCCACACTTGGCAGGACTGGCCAAGCTTGAGCACCTAAGACTAACCAATTATCTTACTTTATAGCTTCCTCATCCAATCCTAAATTGCCAAAACTGTAACTTCAAATTTCCCGCAATTTTTCTTTCAAAAACCTAAGGCCTTTGTCTCCCGGTGCCACTCTTTGCTGACCGGCAGGGGTGACCCCATTATGCAATGCTCTTGCAACGAGTCGTGGTCTGTGGGAGTTTCTGGGAAGGGCGCGATCTTGAACTCCTGAGTCGTGAGACCCCAGGTCTTACAGGTTTGGTCTAGACTGGCATTAAACTCATGACCTTCTGCCTTTGCCTCAGAAATGCTGATCTTACAGGTGTGTACTACACCTGTAGTTTTTATCCAAGCAAATCTAACTTCACGATCTACACTCTCTTTAAATTTATTTTTACTTTTGAGAAGGCTTTTGTTAAGTACTAGTTTGGAACTTGCTCTGGTTGGATAGGTTTCCTCAGACTCACAGAGTTCTCTTGTTTCTGCCTGCTGAATGCTAGGACTGAAGGCATGTGTCACCACTCCTAGCCACCACTCCTGGCTATACTCTTTCTTTTGAAAAGTAAGACACTGAAGAGAACCATCTGTACGTCTTTGAATTTTCATGTTACTGAACTGCCTCCAATAGGAAGTTGCACAGTATGGATGTCTTCAGGACTGACCAAAGGTTCTGAATAGAACCAGTATAAGTTTTTGAAAGGCACACACATTACTATTTACTATTAACACAAAATACAGGGCAATGTAACGCCAGGAGTATTGTTGACATAATCTAGAAAGATAGCACATATTAGTATGCTACCTATTCATATATTGTCCTTACATTTCCCAATTGGTTGAAAAAGACTCTTTTCCTAATAGCCAGGTTAAGCAACATCCATTTAAATAAAATAGCAGCTTAGGTAATTTTACAGTTTATCTTTTGAGAGAGAACCTGTAAATTTGGGTCTGATAATTAATGCAACTGATTGAATTTTGTTGTTCAAGTGTGTGTGGGAGTATGTGGGTGTGGTGGCCAGTAAGCCCCAGGGATTAGCCTATGTCCATCTTCCCAGTGAGCCCACATAGCCACCGCCATAACTCCAACCACCCTCAGCTTTTTATATGGAGGTTGGAGAGATGATGATAAAGTTCTTGCCAAGCATCTTTCATGGCAAGCACTTTATAGAGTGAGCCATTTCCCGAGCCACCAGCTGTTGCTTTTTACTGAAAGGAGGAATAAAGGGCTTATGGATCCTTTGTTACTCTAAGTGGCTACTCTGAGAAACCTTGTTTAAGAATTTTCTCAGTCAAAAATTGAAAGAGGAAATGTTTTTGAGGAATCAGTATGTTTTTCATCACAAAGCACTACAATGAGAACATTTCAGCTAAAATCTTTACGTTTTTAAAGCAGTAATGGTGTATTAATAGGGCCTGAATTTCGTGCATCTTTCATTCCCTCCAGTCTCCCAGCTGTGGGTATTCAAGAGTGTCACATGAGATCTACATGCATGAAAGCTTCATTAATTTTTTACTGGTAATGTGAGATGGCATGGCTCAGTGCTGACCAGCTGTATTTTGAACTCAACTACAGACATTAATTATGTATACAGAGAAAATGATTTGGAACAAGTTTAGTCTGTTAGTCTCTAACTCCCTGTTATAATTCTAAATAAATTAGAGTATAATTATAATCAATTATGTTGTTTCAGTTGCATTCCTAATTGATCCAAGCCTTAATGCATGATCCCCGGTGGTTTCATAATTCTAGTAAAAATTATGTGGTTTTCTTTTAATGAACTTCTGTGCACAGTACTAATTAGATTAAAATGAAGTTCCCTTCCACATGTCTTACAGGCACTATCTGGATAAAGCTAACCAGTCGGTGCCCGGTTCAAAAGGACTGTTTTCTTAAGCCAGAGGCTGTTACTGAAAGGAAACTAGAAGACTAAAGACACATTCAAGACTGCTCTTTCAATACAAAGGAAATGTGGTACTTTTCTCATCTATCCTTCTTAGAATTTGCTTGGATGATGATGGAGAAACCTTTTAAGAATCCCTTCTACTTTGAGAATTCAGACATTTACTTATTTATTTTTGAGATAGTATTTCATGTAGCCCAGCTAGCCAGGAACTGAGGATGACCTTCAACTTCTGATCTTCCCTCCACTGCCTCCTCTGTGTTGGGGTTACAGGGGTTAGCCAAAGGTCTAGACGGAGAATTTCAAAGCATTTGTAAGCAAAATTATAGCGAACACTTTGATATTCAGGTTACTTGGCGTAAATGGGAGAGAATGGAGATAACAGTGCATATGCAATCTAGATGCTGACGTGACCTTTAGTGTGGATAGACTCATTAGCACGAATAATCCAGGAGACCAGGACGTAAACTGTTGGCTCTAATTAACACGGGTTGGAGGATCCGGTCTGACACAACAAACATCCCAGAGAAGACCACAACGAATACAGTCTGCTCAGCAGCCGGCTTTACTCACTGGGAACCCGGCCTCTACTGGAGCTGAGGGCGCCGGGTGATGACGTAACCCGCGCCCGGAGGCGATTGGCTCCTCGAGAAGGGTGTCGGCAACCAACGGGACCCTGAGCCCTCGCTTAAGTCCTCGCGATAGCCGCGTCCTCAGTGCGGGATGGCCGCGGAGCCGGGTGGAGGTACCCCGCGGCTCCGGGAGCGGGCTCTCGGGGCCGAGAGATGGCCCGGGGCCCCGGCCAGCTAGGCGGGCCTCGTCCGGATACCGTCGTCATGCCCAAGAGAGGAAAGCGGCTCAAGTTCCGGGCCCATGACGCCTGCTCGGGCCGAGGTGGGCGAGGGGCGGGGCCGGGCGGCGGCGGGGCCTGGGCAGCAGATCTGAAAGGGAAATGCTCCGCCGGGAGCGCCTGGGGAGACTTTGCCCGGAGTCTCAGGAGGCTTTGGCGCTCTGCTCTGTTTCAGTGACCGTGGCGGACTATGCCAACTCGGATCCGGCGGTGGTGAGGTCTGGACGGGTCAAAAAAGCCGTGGCTAACGCTGTTCAGCAGGAAGGTAGGCTCCTTGCGGGTATTTTTAGGCCCAAGTCTTTAAGACAGCATTAGATGTGTTTTCCTGGAATTTTGTCCCAGTGTTTTTCCTGCAGCTCTTTGGACACCTGGCCATGAACGTGTTTGCTTTTTCCACCGTTTACTTTCTTATAGGATGGTTGTGTGTAGCCAGGATAGCAGGTTCCGGAGCAGAAATATTTTTGTTTCCTTTTTGAATTAAAAACAACCTTGTGACCAGTTGGGGTGGGCATTCCTTCAATCTCAATATTGGGAAGGCAGAGACAGGTGGATCTCTTTGAGTTCAAGGCTAGCCTGGTTTATATACCAGTTACATTGTGCGATCCTATCTCAAAAGAGCGACCCAAACAAAACAAGAGTAAAACCCCACTCAATTTTATGTACTCATTAGTTTCCACAGTCACATCTTGATATCCACTTTTTGTAGTTTATGTATATTTTACCATACAATTAGCATCCATTACGTGGCATACATATATATATATTTTTTGCCTTGCTTATAAGATTTTTGAAGTTGGATCTCTTAGATTTATGTTTTATGTCATGTCTCAGGTGCGGGACAGGGTTAAATTGGATTTCATTTTTCTTAAGCCATTGCTCCTCAGAGTCGAGGTTCATGACCTTTTGTTTTTATTGTCCTGCAGGGTTGAATCGATCGATCAATCGATCAATCAATCTCTCTCTCTCTCTCTCTCACACACACACACACACACAGAGCTACAGTTTTGTTTCAGCTTTTGTTATATGTCCTCAGCTTTTTTCAACATTGCCTCTCTCCGTGGTTGCTGATACATTGGCTAAGTATTTTTGGATGGGACCAAGTGCATTTAATTTTTTCCTTCTTTTCTCCTAGTAAAATCTCTTTGTGGCTTGGAAGCCTCCCAGGTTCCTGCAGAGGAGGCTCTTTCTGGGGTGGGTGAGCCGTGTGACATCATGGACAGCAGTGATGAGATGGATGCCCAGGAGGAAAGCACTCATGAAAGATCAGTCTCCAGAAAAAAGAAAAGCAAGAGACACAAAGGTACCAGTCTTGCTTTCCTGAGGGTTCTGAGTTCTGTCTGTGATTTTTTGTTTTTGTTTTGTTTTGTTTGTTTGTTTTTGAGACAGGGTTTCTCTCTGTAGCCTTGGCTATCATGGCACTTGCTCTGTAGATCAGGCTGGCCTCGAACTCACAGAAATCTGCCTGCCTCTGCCTCCCAAATGCCAGGATTAAAGGTGTGCACTACCACTGACCAGCTCTGTCTGTGATTGATACTGTCAATTTTCAATAAGGTGAGAACTAAGAGTTTATATTATTGTTATACCAGTTATTGTCAGTGATACCTTTGTTTCTCAGAATCCAAAAATTGACAGCAATGTTTGTTATACTTTATTCTTTCTTAATTCTTTTAGGGATGTACACATGCATATGCATGTACGTAAGTACACGTATGTGTGTTTGTGTGTGTTTACATGTATATGTATACATTCTTCAGAAAATTTCTGACTTACGTTTTAAATTAAAACAATTTAAGGTACTGAATGTGAGTGTTTGTACTGAATATGAGTGTTTGTCTACATGTATGTATCACGTATGCCTGGTACAGAGGAGGGGACAGAAGAGGTCATTATATTCCCTGGAACTGGAGTTGTAGGTTGGATGGTTAGATGGATGGTTGTGAACTCTTATGTGGGTTCTGGGACACAAACCCAGGTCTTCTGCAAGAGCAACAACTGCTAAATCATCTTAGCTTTTCAAGATAATTTTCTTCCTTCTTTCCTTTCTCTCTCTTTCTTTCTCTTTCTCTCTCTTTCTGATGGTTTTCCAGCTATCCTGCAACTAACTTACTTTGTAAACCAGGCTGGGCTCAAATCCACAGAGATCCACCTCCCTTTGCTTCCCAAGGACTGGGATTAAAGGCATGTGCCACCATGCTGGGCTTCAACTTTCCTTTCTTTTTCTTATTTTTTGAAATGAGGTCTCACTATATAGGCCAGGCTGGTCTTCAACTCATAGAGACCCCATGCCTGTGTTTCTATACAGTGTTGGGATTAAAGGTGTGTGCCACTGTGCCTGGCAAGAGAATTTTAAAGTATATAGTTGAGTAGTTTTACTATTTTCCCAGTCGTTTTGCGCTCTTTGTGAGCTTAGTATAGAGTATCTCCATCACTCCAAAAAAATTCCTAAACCGTTAGCATCACTGCTCTGATGGACACCACCCCTGCCTGACCTAATTCCATTCTTTGCAGATACACTTTTTCTGGACATTCCATACAGACGGAATGCTAGCATGTTCTCCTAGGTCTGGTTTCTTTTATATGGCTTAATGGAGTTAGGGTTCATCCATGTGGAATATGTACCAATAGTTCATTTTTATTGCCTTTTGTGACCACTTGCATTGTACAGCAACTTCAAGGATAGTTTTTTTTGTGGGTGAATGTTGTCACCTCTAATAGGTAATGAGCAATCATGCAGTTTCTCGATTGTGTGGTAATCTATGCTTAAGTTTTTCAGGAGTCAGTGAAGTGGCTATATCATTTGATGTTTCTAACAATAGCATATGAACAGTGTGATATTTTACATCCTTGCCAACACTTACTGTTTTACATACGACACTATAATGGATATGAAGTAGTATCTTTAAAAATAAACTTTTTATTTACATGTACTTGTGTTTTTGTGAGTGCTTGTTGTGTATGAATGCCTGCAGAGACCAAAGGAGTTAGATCTCCTGTAGCTGAATTTATAGGTGTCTGTGAGTGGCCTTACAGGTACTGGGAACCAAATTGGAAGAGCAGTAATGTTCTTAACCTCTGAATTTATCTCTCCATCCCTCATGAATATGAAATAGTATCTTATTATGGGTTTATATGAGTTATATTTATTTAGAGACAACATCTCACCATGTTTTCCCTGGCTGGCCTGGTATTCCCTATGTAGACCAGGCTGGCCTTTAACTCACAAACATCTACTTGCCTTTGCCTCCCCGCGTGCTGGGATTACAGGTGTGCACCTGGCCATTTTTTATTTTCTTGCTTTGCTTTATCTCTGTTAGGTACCTTTATATTAGTTAGATTATTCCTTTTTTTCTCTTTAAAAATAATCTTAAAATCACATTATTTATTCATTCATTGTTTGTGTGTAGAGGTTAGAGTAATAGTACTGAGCATACCAGGGTATACAGGTGGAGATCAGAGGACATTTTGTGATAGTTGTCCCCTTCATGTGAGATTAAACTCAAAGAGGCTTAGCTACAAGCTCTGTTGCCTGCAAAACCATCTAGATGCCCTTACCCCTTAGTTTCTTTTAAATAAAGCAGAAGAGGATAGTTTAATGAAGCTATTGTAACCGTTATTCAACTGCTATAAACTTATTACTATTTATATTTCAATCCTTATTCTTCTATCCAGTTATATTCATAGTAGATAAGTTTAAGCAATTCCTAGATACCATTATCTCTGTAAATATTTTATTAGGTTTTCTCAAAAGGAATAGTCTTCAAAAATACTATTGTTAGTCATCAAGTAATCTCAGGAGGTGAAGGAGGATCAGGAGTTCAAGGCCAGGTTTAGCTACATGTTGGAGGCAAACCTGGGTTACATTAGACCCTGTCTGAAAAAGCTCAAAAACAAGAGGAAACCTGGAATGCTGGAGAGAATGGCTCAGCAGTTAAGAGCACTGGCTGCTCTTCTGAAGACCTGGGTTCTATACCCATCACCCACATGGAGGCTTAAGGGGATCCAGTGTTCTCTTGTCCTCCTTGAGAACTAGCCATACAAGTGGTGCAAAAACAAATATGCTTGGCATTTTGCAAGCACCGAGCCATCTCCCTATTCCTAAGATGCAATTTTTAGCAGTACTCAGCTTTGTAAAAGTAATTAATGAGCCAGATGTGATGGTGTGTGACTTTAATTCTAGTACTTGGGAGGCAAAAGTAGGCAGTTCTCTGAGTTCAAGACTGGCATGGTCTACATAGTAAGTTCCAAAACAGCCAGAGCTACATAGTGAGATACTATCTCAGGAAAAAAAAAAAGAGTTATGATTCATTAAGATTAAGGCATCTTCCTGGCATATATGTTGTTATTCAAATCTGAAATGTATAGTGGACCTTAGGCATCAAGAGAGTTAACACTAATGAGGTCTGAAGGAAGAAGAGATAGTAAGGATACATTATCAAGTAGTGATGAATGCCAAGAAAACTAGAAGGTGGCTCAGACTAGAAGAATGTGGCTCAGTAGAATGCTTGTCTAGCATGCATGAGCCCATAGGTTTGATCCCCATCACTGTATAATCCCAGCATGGTGTCACATGACTACTACTACCCCAGAACAGTAGGTGGAGACAAGAAGATCAGAAGTTCAAAGTGTACTTTGGTTAAATATTAAGTTGGTGGCAAGCCTGGGCTACCTGAGACTCTGCCTCAGCACAAACAAACAAACAAGCAAATAAAAAAGAGAAAAAAAAAATAGAACATGTATAGAGTGTAGACTAGTGAGTATATGCTGTAATTTACCTTTTCTGTTGTTGCAGAGACTATTTAGTTTATATTTACTCATACCATCTTTTTGTGGTTGTTAAGACAGAGTTTCTCTGTGTAGCCTTGGCTGTCCTGGACTCACTTTGTAGACTTCAAGCTCACAGAAGTCTCCTGTCTTTGCCTCCCCGAGTGCTGGGAGTATGCCCAGTTTCATACCATTTTTTAAAAAAAGAACTAAAAAGGGGGGGGGGATTAAGAGAGACTTGTTTATTTTCTGATTTTCTGTGTGGGGGTATTTTGCCTCTGTGTGTGTCTGTGCATCTCATGTGAACAGTGCCTGTGGAGGCCAGAACAGGGCATCAGATCCCCTGGGTCTGGAGTTAGAGAGGGTTGTAAACCACCATATAGGTGCTGTGAATCAAATCTGGGTCCTTTAGAAAAGCAGCCAGAACTTTCAACCGCTGAGCCATCTCTTCAGTCCTATTATATCATCCTCAAGTCATTTTTTTTATGAGTCATGCCTGGTGTTGTGTAGCTTTAATCCCATCATTTGGGAGGCAGAAAGAGATGGATTTGTGAGTTTAAGGCCAGCCTGGTCTGTAGAGTGAGTTTCAGGACAATCAGGAACTGTCTCAAAAAAAAAAAATCACTTAAGAAAATATAATCAAACTGAAGTAAAGGTAGATGGGGATTGAAAGGAAAATCATAGGCAGAATTTATGGTGCAAAGCTGGAACTTGGAATCACAAATACAGGTTTTGTTTACGTTGCTTGAATGTCATTATGGTTGTCTCCTTTTTCTTTTTTCTTGATTGTCTTTCTCTTCCTCTCGCTCTCTTGCTGTTTCTCTGTCTTTCTCTGTCTGTCTCTCTGTGTGTGTCTGTGTGCCTGCTTGAATGCATATATGAGTTATGTACATCATGTGTGCTGGAGCCTGTGGAGGCTAGGAGAGGACATTAGATCACCTGGCACTGAAGTTGTAGGCAGTTGTGAGCTGTCATGTGGATTCTGTGAATTGAACTCAGGTCCTCTGCAAGAGCAGTAAATGTTCTTAAACCCCTGAGCTATCTGTCCAGCCCCTTCATTTTCTTAAAAAAGAAAGAGAGAGAGAGAGAGAGAGAGAGTGTATGTGTGTGTGTGTGTGTGTGTGTGTGTGTGTGTGTGTGTGTGTGTAATTATGTCTGTAAGGGAACTAGTGGAGGCTGAAAATAGGTGTCTGGTTTGTTGGAGCTGGAGTTCCAGGCATTTGTCAGTTGCCTGATGGGGTGCTGATATGGTACTGGTCACCAGAAAGAGCAGTGTCCTTTTTTGTTTTTTCTCTCATTTTGACACAAGGTAGAGTTGTCTGGCAGGAGAGAACCCAGCTGAGAAAATGTCCCTACCACATTGTCCTGTGGTCAAGTCTATGCCGTGTTTTCTTGATTGATGATTAATATGGGAGGGTCCAGCTCACTTGCAGTGTTGCTACCCCATCCGATGGTCCTGGCTGATAAGTGGCTGAGCTGATAAAAGTACTTGCCCCATGACTGACCGAATCCCCAGGATCCACATCAGAAAGGAGAGAAGCGATACCCACAAGTTGTCTTTGACCTCCATGTACGTGCCAGGACACTTGTGTCCTCACATACATACATATTCTGTAGCGTAAAAAATTAAAAAGGCAGACTGAGCAAGCCATGAAGAGCAAACCAGGAAACAGTGCTCTGCCATGGCTTCTGTTTTACTTCCTGCCCTGGCTTTCTTCAGTGACTGACCTGAGACTTGTAAGAAGAAATAAACCCATTTCCTCTTCATGTTGCTTTGGTCATGGTGTTTACCATAGCAATAGAAACCCTAATTCAGATAAGCAGTAAGTTCTCTTAATTTTTGAGCCATCTCTTTAGCCCCAATGCCTGTTTTCTTTCTTTCTTCCTTCCCTCCTTTTTTCTTTTTCTTTTTTTTTTTTTTAAAAGATTTATTTATTTTAGGTATATGAGTGCTCTATCTGCATGTACAACTGCATGCTAGAAGAGGGCACCAGATTTCAGTATAGAGGCTGTGAGCTCCCATGTGGTTGCTGGGAATTGAACTCAGGACCTCTGGAAGAGCAGACAATGTCCTTAACTGCTGAGCCATCTCTCCAGCCCCTAATGTCTGTTTTCTTATTACTACAACGTACGTAAGAATATTTTCATTTCTGTTGAAGAATTATTAGATTGTTAGGATACATTCAAAGGCACAAAAAGTAGTTTTTTAAAAGGCCTTAGATGGCTGGAGAGAAGGCTTAATGGTAGAACACTTGGTGCATAAACATGAGGGCATGAATTCTGATCCCCAGTACTCAGCTGGGGTTCTCTGTTGCTAGTAACTTTACCTGTGTCAAGCAGTAAAGAACAAACAAAACCCCCAAACCATCCAGGACACTGCTCTTTCAGGGGTCTAGTATGATATTAGCACCCACGTCAGGCAACTGACAAATGCCTCCAGCTTCAAGGAACCTCACCTCTATTTTGCCCTGTACGGATTTGTGGACAGACACATAGATAAGTTGTTTTTGTTTGTTTGTTTGTTTGTTTTTGTAAAGATACAACTGGAGAGATAGCCCCTATAAAAAGACAAGTCTGGCAGTGTGGGTCTGGAAGCCTAGCAGCGCAGAGGTAGGAGTACTGCTGGGGCTTGTTGGCCAGCCTGTTTAGCTGGTTGGTGAGGTAGAAAAGTGATTGACCATCATGCTTGATGTCAACCTCTGGCCTCCACACACACATATGTGGCCACACATGAAAATGTGTACAGGCTTGCACATACACAACAAAGGCCTTAAGAATGTTAACTCATCACGTGGGCAACGGAAGACAAAAGGATTTAAGCAGCAAAAATTATCAGGAAACCATCAGCTTGAGGGGCTTCCTTGAACCTATTTAAAACCGTTTTCTTAGTCAGGTATGGTGGCACACACCTTTAATCTCAATACAGAGGCAGAGGCAGGTCAGTTTCTTGAGTTGGAGGCTAGCTCAGTTTACAGAGCAAGTTCTAGGACAGCCAGGGCTGTTATACAGAGAAACCCTGCCTTGAAAAATCAAAAAGAAAAAGAAAAAAAAAAAAAAAAAACAAACAACAAAAACTGGTTTTCTTGAATATGCATGCTCTGAGAAAATTGGGATGAGTGCCTGTAGGTAACGTGTGCTAGTAGAGCACAGAATAGTGTCCTTTTTTCCGTTTCAGAAGACCTGGATGGAGCTGGAGGAGAAGAATATCCTATGGATATTTGGCTGTTGCTGGCTTCCTATATCCGTCCTGAGGACATTGTGAATTTTTCCCTGATTTGTAAGAACGCTTGGACTGTCACTTGCACTGCTGCCTTTTGGACCAGGTTGTACCGAAGGTGCGACCAGAATGCCGCAGTGTTCTCTGTAGTTGATGTTGTTGCTGTTTGTGACTTGGAGCTATGCCCTAGGCGATGGGCTCTCGTCCCTTTCTCTTGTCATGTCTTGCCATGGCCCTAGCTTTGGACTTCGTGCTCCCTCTCTAAATCTCATGTTATGATGATGCAGGTGGCTGTCTTCTGCCACCCGTCCCTTCTAGTGTCTCTTTATTTGCAAATGGTCTTACTTCAGGTCCCAGAAAGAACTTAGACTTTCCTTTAGAGGTTTATCTTATTACACAATCGGTAAAGGTGCTAGATTTTAATGTGGGGTACAGAAGTGTAGGGATGGAGTAGAGATCTTGTTGACATGCCTGACCGGGAAACCCAGTGGCTCCTCTCCATGACAAATATGTTTTGAGCAATTTAAGTATTATCACACTGTCACCAGTTCAGAGGCTTGTAATTTGTACAATCTGAAATAGTCCAAATTAAAACTGAAAAAGGTAGAGAACTACAGGGTTACAAGATCAAGAAGCGAAAATCGGTAATTTAAGGAGATGGTGATTGTGTTTGTGAGAACTGGACAAGCTAGTACCTACCAGTGGAATAGTGGAATAAAGTTCACATGGAAACCAGGAGTCCTGGGAGAACAGGAGAGACGGGCCACATATTGGTAGGAGTCATATGTCATGTTTCAGGCACTACACGCTGGATGCTTCTCTGCCTTTGCGGCTGCGACCAGAATCAATGGAGAAGCTGCGCTGTCTTCGGGCATGTGTGATTCGATCTCTGTACCATATGTATGAACCATTTGCTGCTCGAATCTCCAAGAATCCAGCCATTCCGGAAAGCACTCCTAGCACATTAAAGAATTCCAAAGTAAGTGAAAATTGCTGTTAGGGTTTGGCTAATGGACTCTTGTATGGTGGGCCTGTTCCTGTGGCTTGTTTGTAGCTTCTTGATGGGGAGGGCTGTTTGTTGGTCCCAACCCACTAGAGGGCTAATGTAAACTTGAAGTGTTCAGAAGTTTCATTTCTCCCAACACATTCCTGCTGGGCTGGGCTGGTTTATGCTGCCCTTTCTTAAAGCTTTCTTGTGCTTTCAGTGTATTTCTTAGTCTCTTTATTTCAACTTGTTTTTATGCACTGTACAGTTGACCACTGTAGATAGAATGGTTTTGATGGTTTGGGCTAGGAAGACAACTTGAATACTAGGTCTATACAATTTTTACTGACACAAGTAACACGAGGGATCAGCTGCTTTTCTGTTTCTAGGGCATCTGAGATTTCACTTCTTTCTTGACTTCCTTTAAGGATTCTGGTATAGACATCTTTACTTGCTAAGTCCCTGTGCCAGGCTCTCTGGTAATTTGTCTCAGAGACTATAAGGTACTCCAGTTTATAGGACTTAGGATTCCAAAATCTTTCTACACTTTAGGCTGAATTTATCTTAGGATTCTCTGTATAGTTTCTATTCAGACACTATATTCAAGTTTCTGGTATTCTGAATAATAAGTAGGTTTATTAGTTGTTGGCCCATTTTCTCCTTCCTGCTGAAATCACCCTTACTAAGCTAGATTATGGTTATTTAGACAAGTTGATGTCTTAGCCTTTATCTTACTCAACTGATTTTGTATAATTTATCTTTTGAATTTGTAGGTAAGTTTTATAACTCTGTTCTACCTACTCTAATCCATTCTGTAGCACTTGCTGTTCTCTTGTACTTTGCCTTTATGCCCAAAGACATTATATAATTCTTCTCTGCTAGTTGAGCTCTAAGATTATATTAATTCCAGGAATTAAAAGGTACTATTGTTTCAAAGTATTCAAGCCCCTCCCCCCCAACACTTATAAATGGAGGTCATCAGGACCTTTGACCTAACTGTTTAATTTAATGCTAGTTGATGGATTTAGGCCAGGAGTAGTGTGTTTCATGAGTAGAGTTTCACCCTGAAGCTGTTTCTGCTTGTAATGTGAGTGGACAGTGTCCCATCTCATATTTACAGTTTCTTCTTCCCTAGAAGCATTTAATACTGTCTCATTAACTGCAAGGAGGGTGGTAATCATTACAAAGTTAACCATGACAGATATGGAGCAGGGCAGCATTGATAGGGCAAACTCCTTATGCTTGACACATCTTAGCGGCTCCAGTGCACAATCCAAGGGCTACTGCTTCAATTCTAAAATACCCATATCATTATATTCTTTTTACTGTGTCTTTTTTTTATTTTTAAGTAGATTATGAAGCTTAGGTGGACTGAAAAAAATAAGCTCTTAATCCAGGTAGTAAGCACAGGCTACCTGGCAGCTTTTATGTGTTGTTAGAGATCCTCTGAAGAGAGGACATGGGTCCTGTGGTGGCAGATCCCTGGTGCATGGCTTCACCATGTGCGTGCCTATAGTCACATGGCACTCAGTTGCCAGCATGCCTAGGAAGTTGTCCCATTTCCTGGACTCCAGCTTTTCGTATTTGATCCCCTCTCTCTCTTTTCAGTAGCATAGCTTGTGTGGGACACTGGAGCCGTTGTGATGGCAGCAGAAGTGTTTTCCCCTAAAAGCCAAGCCCATTATTTTTGATGGAGCAGCAGGACGTACAGGGCATGTCTGAAGGCAGGACAGCTGGCACGGCGGACGACCCACCCCTTGTCCCCTGGGAGGTACTTCACTTCTTGTGCTTAACCCTAGCTATAGCCTGACTTCATTGAGGGGCTTGCTTTAGACTGAATTCGGCTTAGCTCGTTGGTTTCCATAACAGCTGTCTGTTCCCAGAAGGTCCTGAGTGGCTGGTTCCTGTTAGAGGGCTAGCCCTCCTTGCCTGCTTTGTGGCCTTGTCACCATCTTGCCTGGTGGCTACTTGCTGCCTTTATATTTTAATGTATAGCAGTGGCCTGCTGAATGAGAGAAAACGGCCCACACTGTGGATATATATTTGTCTTTAAAGATGAGAACAATAGGGGTTGATCTTAATAAGCCTCTGAGGTTGACTTGTATTGGTCCCTCTTGTCCTTCCTGAATAGCATTGTGACTGTCTTCATGTTGCACCAGTGTCAAGTTGGGGTCTGTGTGTGCCAAAGTAAACTCTCCGCATCAGGACTGTAGTTGCTTTAGAGCTCTCAGGTACTTTTGCTTTATAGTTGTTGTTGTTACTTTATAATCCATTTTAATGTCATTCCCTTAGTTTATTTTTGCTCTCTTACAGTGCTTACTTTTCTGGTGCAGAAAGATTGTTGGGAACAGACAAGAACCAATGTGGGAATTCAACTTCAAGTTCAAAAAGCAGGCACGTGTCCTTCTTTTGTCTCTATATTTTTATAAATTTAATTTTATTTTTAAAGATTTGTTTATTTGGGGTAGCTGGATGGCTCAGAAGATATGAGAATACTGCATTTCTAGAGGACCCACTTTCTAGGGCATCTAATACCTTCCTCAGGCCTTTTAAGGGCACCACACTTATATATTCAAACAGCTACCTACACCCATACCCACCTTAAAGTTAAATATTTTTATAATGTATGATTTTCTTTTTTGTTGTTGTTGTTTACTCTATTTATTTATTTGAGACAGCGTATGGTATCTACGTATTCCTGGCTGTCCTTAAACTTGCCATGTAGACCTCAAACAATAGGGACTTATCTGCTTCTGTTTCAGAAGTGCGAAGATTAAAGACCTGTGCCACCATATGTGGCTTGTCTATTGGGTGGTTTCCCTGCATGTATGCATATGCACTATGTGTATCCATGGTACTTGTGTTGGTTAGAATAAGGAGTCATATTTCCTGGAATTGGATTTGTGGACAGTTGTTAGCCTCCATGTGGGTTCTGGGAACCAAATCAGAGTCCTCTGTAAGAGCAGAAAGGGCTCTTAACTATGAGCCATCTTTGCATTCTTTCAGATATCTTAGTTAATGAATTTCACTATGTCTTAATCCCTTTGTGCTGCCATAACAAAGTAGCAGAGATTGGACTACTTATAAAGAACAGAAATTAATTTCCTCATAGTTCTGGAGGCCAAGAGATCCAAGCAGGTTCTGTGTCTGATGAAGTTCTGGTTCTTGTTTTCAAGATGTTGCTTTCTTGTACCCTGTATATTATCACAGAGCTGGGGTAGAAGGCTAAAAGGGGCCAAATCCATTTGAAAGCCCCTATTTTAGTAAGAGCCTGTTAAGAGAGGAATCTTAACATTATTACCTTCTAAAGGCTCTATCTTTTATATGACATTAGATTAAATTTCAGAATAAATCTTGGAGGGCACTATTTTATATTGGATAAAAAAATAGCAACTTTGGGTTATTACCCAAGGTAAACCTTGACAGATTCCCAGATCAGAGAACAGAGGTATAAAAGACGATTGTGTGTGTGTTGGTATGTTTGTGCAACCTCAGTGCTGGCAGTGGGAGAGGGCAGGATGCTGGGGCTTAGTGTCAGCCAGTTTAGCCAGTTGGATAGCTCCAGTTTCAGTAAGAGACTGCTTCAGAAATAAAGTGGAGAGAGAAAGAGGGGAAGATCCTCAGCAGTGACTTCTGGTTTCCACATGCATGTGCACTCATATCCACTCACACACACCCACTCCACCAGCCCACATTTTCTGGGCAGCGGAGAAAAGTTAAATATTTGTTGTATGTTAGTCAGTGTTATCTTGCTCTGGAGAGATACCATGATGTCCACAGTTCTTACAAAAGAAAGCATTTCATTGGAGCTGGCTTACAGCTTCAGAGGTTTAGTCCACTATCATTATGGTGGGAAGCATGGTGGCATGCAGGCAGACATGGTGCTGGAGAAGTAGTGTAGAGTTCTACATCAAATTTTCCTATTAGTTTATTTTAAAAACATGGTTCTGGTGAAGAAATGTAGCTTTCATGTCTTTTTAAGAAACTCAGTCTATGATATCAATTAGACAGCTTTCTCCACTGAGGGGTAGCCCAAGCAGTGAGAGATGGGACAGAAGACCAGAATTACTGCAGGAAATTGAATGCTGAGAGTTCATTTCGTCCTGAGCTTGTGAGTCCTGCTTTATGTTTCCTGGAATTTGGGGGTTGCTTCTCCATCTGCCCTCTTCTTCAGCAGATACTCTTTGAAGTCTGACACATTACGTGGAATTTGAAGTTTTCAAACACTGGAGAGTGGCTGATAGAGCCACTCATTGTGAGTTGGCAGAAATACTCTCTGTGAGAAGCTTAAACCCTCTGCTGTATTTGCTAATCTATGCACGCTCTCCCTCACTTTGTTGTTGTTGTTTTTTGTTCGTTTTTATTTGAGACAGGGTTTCTCTATGTAGCCTTGGCTGTCCTGTCCTAGACTAGGCTGGCCTTGAACTCAGAGATCCGTCTGCCTCTGCCTCCCTGAATGCTGGGCCACCGCTCCTGGCCTCTTTCTGTTTCTTAACTGGTAGATTGTCGCTGAGAGATAACAAAATTTTCAGTTTATCTGTTGGGTTTTCCTTCACAGCATCTTAAAGAGCATACATATTTTCTTTCTCTAGGCCACTAGATTAATGCTTAGCTCTCCTTAGTCCTCTAGATTAAAGAGCAAGTGTATGGAACGGCTGCAACCGCCCATTCAATATGAAGATGTTCATACCAACCCTGACCAGGATTGCTGCCTGCTGCAGGTCACCACCCTCAACTTCATCTTTATTCCTATTGTCATGGGAATGATATTTACCTTGGTAAGTGGGGATTCAGCTCTTCTGTAGAGTTTCACTGTATCTATGGTTTGAAAAAGGATTTATAGATGTAACTACTGGGAAGAAATCTCTGAATAATAATAAAGTCCAAAATTAAAACCAGAATAACACATGGGTGCACCCCTTCTCCCACCATCAAGTGACTGAACACACACCAAAACCAACCAACCAAACAAACAAAACGCACAAAAGAATAATAATAAAAACAAAACAGGTAAGTCTGAAATCAGATTTTCATATTAGAGACAGACAAATACGGGGAGAAGCTAATTATATCTGAGGATGGTTGCCTGTTTCCTCTGTAAGAAAGGGAAGGCTTTCTATCTTCCTGTATGCCTGAAGGTAACATTGACAAACATACACAAACACTGTTAAGACCTTGGGCATTTGTGTGCTGCCATAATAGAATATTAAAATAGAGGGTAACTAGTTCTGTTCTTGCATGTTTTGAGTCTTCAAAACTTGGCCAATAATTAGGTGAGTAAATAATATATGTGCCTGTAGCTTATACTGCCATGTTTTAAAAATATTTAATTGGATAGGCAACCAGGACATGTTATTTGCCATTTGTCTTCTCTGTGTCTTAGGCTTATGTTCAGAGATGTGGAATTCCTCTTTATGGTGAAAAAGCTGAATTTTTAATGGTAGATAATAAATGTATCATGAAGTATTTAAATAATGCATAAATTTTTTGAGAAGGTAGAGGTGACATAGTTAACGGTAATTATAGTTAACTTTCTGGGGACTGTTTCTAAAGTGTGTCTGTTAATATGTTTAAGTATACATTCTCTTCTAGGTAGTTTTCTGTAGTTGAAGTTGTGTCATAATGATATTTTTATCATAGGCATTTTTCCCTCCTTTCAGGTTGAACTGCATTAATGACATCACTGTTATTCATAGTCCTTATATGCCATACTAATTCTGTATAAACCTACATATAAATTACTTGAAGATTTAAAAAAAAAATGAGATCAGGCTTAGGTTTCATATATCTTGCTTGACTCATTCATCAGTATGTTATCAGAATTCCATCTTTATCCTATATGTATAACATAATTAAATAGCTTTTGTGGTAGTGTGTGTACATATATCTTATTTATCTGTAAGGCCCTTTAACATGTTAGATACACAGAGCAGAAAAAACCTTATAAAAAAAATCACCCTGAATGTTTTGTGTTTTTATAAATATTCATCTTAAGAGATGAATCTTGAGAGTGAACATAGGTATATTATGTGTATTATGTCTCAAGGAGAGCCCAAAGAAACGAAGGCTACATTAAATACTAAACATATTTAAATTAAATGTGCCTTTCTCTTCTAGTTTACTATTAATGTGAGTACAGACATGCGGCATCATCGAGTGAGATTGGTGTTCCAAGATTCTCCTGTCCGTGGTGGTCAGAATCTGCGCAGTGAACAGGGTGTGCAAGTTGTCCTGGATCCGGTGCACAGTGTTCGGCTCTTTGACTGGTGGCATCCGCAGTATCCATTCTCCCTGAGAGCATAGTTACTGCTTGGCATCCCATGGGACAGCTTCCAGTCTAGTCCATTAGTAATCAGATTCTGTTTGGAAGGGGCAGCTGGATTGTATAGCTCATTAGTGATGCAACACTGTTTGGGTTCCTGGGGCTCCTGTTACAGAAGGTGGAAAGGTTGAATCAGGAGGAAAACCAACTATGATTTATAAACATTTTAATGTAAAATTTGCATATTTGAAAGGAGAAACCTGGCCTCATTTTCTGTGTTAAACCCCAGTTGGTACTGTTGAGTTTGTTCTTTATTCTTTTATCTCAGCAAATGGATGATTTTGCGCTAGGGAAAAATTAAGCTCTAACTCTTCAAGCAAGGAAGTTTTCCTTTATGGACTAGAGGAACCCAGAGGCTTAAAATGGTTGCTCCAATGTGCTGCTCCTTGAATTGAAGTGAATATTTTTTCTTTTCCTTTTACCCTTCTCCATAAATAAAGCAGGTGACAGGGTTGTCAGAATCTTACAAGATTGACTTGTGCATCTTTTTAAAAAAATGCTTTTTGGATATTTATTACATGAATATTGATTGTTTGCTGATTTTGTATTTTGGGTTTTTGTTTTATTGCATGAGACTGATAGTGATGGTAATGATTATGTACCCCCGGTACTGTTCTAAGAACGTTATAGATTGTGTCTCTAATCCTTGTGTCTTGCAAGGTAGTTGAAACCCTTCCCATTTTATGGTTGAGAAATTGAATCATTGACTTAACCAAGGCCAGAACTACTGGTACATGCAGAGCTAGGATTCTGACCCATGTCTTTTTTGCTATACCACAATTTCAAAGGCCAGTTTCATTTTTCTTGTGCTACATAGTGGTGAAAAGGAGTAGGCAGAGTTTGATCAATAAAAAAGCAAAAGAATGAGTTATTTGAATCTTTCAGATAGACAATATTAAAACAGAGTTTAGGAAGAATTGTGGTGTTTGCATTAAATTATTAGGCTTTATTTTATGCTAAAGGTCATTTTCAAAAAAATGCATTGCATGTTGAAACCAGCCTTAAACTAGAAGCAATTAATAGCTTTTCTCTGCCCTGTCCTGTACTTTGCAAAATTTGTTTTTTCCTTTTAAAACCATCCTGTGTGCTTTCAGAAGCCTGGTCTTCTGTCTGTACAGAATCGTTGACACCCTCTTTGGTCAAAGTTCTTACTGTCACTGGCATGCTCTGAGAAAAGGATCATGGGTGGGTTTTGTTTTTCTCTCTAAGAAGAAAATCCTCTTGCTTCCTTTCCCACCTGGCTGTGGCAGGAGGTGGACATTAAGACAATAGTCTTAACACTCAGTATCTTGAGTCCAGCCCCTAGCATTGCAGTGTAGCCTCCTTGCCCACAAACGTAGTCTCCTCGAGACAGAGTCTTGCTATGTAGTCCACGCTGGCCTTGAACTTAATCCTCTTACTTAACCACCTGCAGTATTGGGATTACAGGTGTGAGTCACCAGCAGGACAAAGGCAATATTCTTGAACCATGGAAATATCATGGAGTAGATACTTATGTGAGCTAAACTGCTAAATTAGTATGTTGGTTTTCTTCTCTCTCTTCACCCCATGCTATTTAAAGAACATTCTTAAGAAGCATCTGTTTAATACTGCTGCTGACAGATAGGATAGCCTTACCCCACACTGAGGGGAATATCACTGGTTGAACAGAAAGTGAGCCTGGGTCAGTAAAAACAACCAGAATTTGGGTACTTAGTTAACAAAATCAACAAAAACCCAAGGACAATAAGCACTTCACAGATCTCTGCAATCAAAAGTTGTCTCTTTGAAACAGAAGGAAAGAAGCACAGAATCTGGAGTCCCCCAAATAAAGATGCCAAGGAGCATGGGGAAGTTGTCCTTGTGGATGTGTGTCTCCCATTCAGGTTTACCTTAAGGGGCTGAAATAAATGTGGCTTAATTGTCTTCTGGCTCAACTGAGTTTTTGTGCCAAACTGCATGGTATGATGACAGACACTATATTCTGCCTTTGAAGTTCTGCCTCTGCTGCGTTCTTAACACATTGCCAACTCTTAGTAAGTGGTTCTTCATGGTTACCATGGCTTCAGTCTTCCTCAGCATGAGTTGAGTTGCCTTTTCTGGTATTAATTCATGTTTGTTAATGAAAGGATGTGAAGAGTATCAAGGATTGCCTTTTCTTAAAAACCTGGAGAACAATTGAAACTTTGTAGACTCTGGGTTTAAAAACTAGTATTTTTCACTCATGACACATATGTTCTTGCTCGGAGTGTCAGACAATACGAATTTAGCTTCTTCCAGCCCCCATCAGAATTACATTTCTACCTTTTTCTAAAGATGCATGAAAATATTGTCTATGTTGGGAGAAAGTGAATGAAAGGCCGTGTTGTTAGCTGACCTCAGCTACAGCCTTTATAGGATACTGCTGCTACAAGATGGGTACACACCTGTGACTACCTGTCTGCATAGTTGCAGATATAGAACAGTTGCGACGCTCAGTAGTGGCTGCGCATGGCTGGCCTTTAATCCCAGCACCGAGGAGGCAGAAGCAGGCGGATCTCTGAGTTGGAAGCTGTCTGGTCTGCATAGTTCCAGGACAGCCCAGGCTACACAGGGAAACTAATGTCTTGAAGAAAAAAAAAAAAAACCCAACCCCCCTAAAACAGTTCTTCACACTTAAAACAGTGCTTAGGGGTATTTGTAAAGGATTTGAGTAGGCACTGTAATGAAATTTCACAAACCAGATGGGAAGGATACATTAATAGCGACGGGGGCAGGGAAAGAGAGCAATTCAGAAAAACAGGCTTAGCTAAAATTTGTCAGAATTTTGGCACTTGAGCATGTTTTCAGAGGATGTATGTATCAGACAAACACTTCATTTTATAGTAACAGTGTTAGTACAATCACATGCCGAAAGGCAAGTCACAATTCACTGAAAAATCACTGAAGCACATACTACAAGACTGTGTTCCCAGTTTCTCCATTTAACAATATGTGGGAAAGAGAAGGTGTGCAAGGTGACAAACGACTGGCCATTTAGAGAACAGGTTAGACTTGGGAAGGTGAATTCAAGAGGGTAGAAGCGTGTAGGATGTGCTGAGGCCTAAACACCCAGCAGATTAAATGCTTGCCCTCCTCTCTCAGGCCCAACCAAGATGGCGCACAGCATCAAAGCAGCGCCCTTGTCACGTGTGAACCCGGGCTGGGGAGCGCGCGGGTGTGGAGGCGTGGCCTAGGGAGAGACGTCCAGGCCCCGCCCTTGGGGGGTGGGGCCGGGGTATCCGCGGAGGAAGGGGGCGGGTCCTTGAGGCCGGGGTACTGGGCGGCGGAGGCTGCAGCTACCTTTGCGCGCTTGCCTCTAGGACGCCTCGCGCTGCCGAGGTCGGGGGCGGCGCCCTGCTGCCGCTGGGCCTTCGGCTATTCCACGCAGGTGAGCGACCACAGCCCACTCCACGGGGAACGACAACCCCTTTCCCCAGCTCCAGCACCCCTGAACAGTTTGACGAGGAGTCTCTTAGTTCGCCTTGGGAAACAACCTTTTCTGGTCTGGATGTGTCTCTGCGGGTCGCGGGTTTCGTCGCCCCTCGCCCTTGCTGTGCCCTGTGCCCTTGGGGATGAGGATGGGGTCGATGCCCATTTTGCAGGGAGGGCGTGGAGTTCTCCCTCAGCTGCATCTGCTCCCTGGGAGGGGGCATCCGGGCGGACTGCGCCCCCACATTCTCTCCAGGACAGTCGGAGCAAAAGCGCGTCTGGGCTTGGGGGCCAGCTCTGCTCCTTTGGGCAAGCGCTTATGAGAGGCTGAGGTCTTCGTTCTTCCTGGGGTCTTCATCCTTCCTGCGTGCCTCTTTAGGCCCTTGGTTACTGCATTCCTTGAACTGTCAGGATGTCAGGCCGTACCAGAGATGCCCCCATCTCCGCAGTGCTGGGGTGGTGGGGTGAAAGGAATGGCCAGCCGGAGGCCTGGTTGGGTGTGGGGATGAAGGTGGGCGCAGCACGGAAAGACGTTCTTAATAGGGGGATTCCTGAACTGGGGGTTGGGGGGTGGGGGTGGGATGAGGAGCTGGTTAGTGAACACAGTAGAGGTATTTGCCAGCATGGTTATTGAGGGTTTTATGGTGGGAAGGAAGGGAGGTCGGGCTGGAGGACTTGGAAATGTAGGTGGTTTCTTTGAGAAGGAGGAGGGATCTAGGACCAAGTGCCACTAGGTGCTGATGTCACCTTTGAAGAGAGATGTGTTGGAGAGGAGGAGAGTTGAGGCAGCTCCTCAGGACTTGTTTGTGGAGAGCAAGTGGTTAAGGGGGCTGTGCTTAGCTTGAAGAGTCCCTCCCGTTGTGAGCTTAAGGAGGCTTCTCCAGGAGCCAGGTTTCAGGGACTCCCTGCAGTCCTTTCCAGAGTTGTTGGAATTGGCTCTTAGTACTTTTTTCAATATTGAGTAAACATTTATTGGGCACCTACTACATGCCAGACGCCATGCTAGATACTTGGAACAGCTGAATGGTGTCAGAAGTAGGCATACATCTTCCTATATACAATTTAGTTACATTGCTAGTGGATTGTCAGAAAACCCCAAAAGACCCCAACCGATTTCAACGCACAGAATCCCCGCCACTGTTAACTGGCCAGATAGTCTTTAGTACAACTGACAGCTTGAATGATTTGCTTTGGCTATTTTCTTAGATTTTGTGCTAAGGTCTGAGGAGGCTTCCGGAGATAAATGATGTCTCAAAGTAATGAGATAAGGGATAGTACATTGGTTTTGGGGGTGGTGAGGGCCTAGATACGATGCAGTAGAGGCACCATCTCCAGGAAATGTGTGGGTATAGGGTGCTGGCAGGAGGAGAGTTCTCATCAGGAGGTGTTTGGGTCTGTGCTGCTGAGCATGTCATGATGTCAGTACATGAGCTCTGCCCCAGCAGCTGGCTTGTAATGGAAGGATTGGAGGAGTAGGTTAGGCAGCTAGGCTTGTGGGTCCCCTCTGAGTAATGAGTGAATTCTTAGACTTGGAAAGAGTTATGGGGGTTCGCTGGGGGTCCTTTTGGAGCCTCCGAGGATGGTAGGACTAGAGCTGGGGAGACAATGGGTGGTTGGGCTGGGATGATGATAAAGGGTTGAAGGCTGGGGAGGGCCAGGGAGCTGGTGCCAAAGGGGCTTTAAAATACAGGGAAGTTAATTGAGGCCTCCTTATGCTAGAAATACTCTCCCCTGGGCCTCCAAGAGCTGTATTGTGTAAGTCGGTGGAGGGTTTGCTCTATGAGCAACGTGTGTTGTGCTGACTGAGCAGTATTGTGTGAAGGTGTGTGTGTGTGTGTGTGTGTGTGTGCATGCATGGTGTGCATGTGTGTGCTTGTGCAAATGTTTGTGCTGGAAATGAGGAGTAAGAAAGACTGAGAGTAAAACCTGTCACAGTGTCTGGTTTCCACATAAGGAGTTGGAAGAAATGGAGGGAGGCATTGGGACGAGGGAGAGACAAGTGTGTATTGCAACCACATAAGTTACCATCTGTCCCCCTCTCTGGCCTGCTAGCTCACTGACCTATAATTAGCTCTGGAGGGCATGCGGTGCTGGCTCTCAGGAGTGTGGCACTTCGGGTGGCCACCAGAGTCAAGAACACTCAGAGGGGCTATGGCCCTATGGTGAGAGCCATACACACACACACACACACACACACACACACACACACACACACACTCAGAGGGGCTGTAGCCCTATGGTGAGAGCCATACACATACATACATGTATATACACACACACACATTTGCCCAGGACCACAACCCGTTTGAATTCTCCAGTCTGAGAAGGGCTCTGTACTGCTGAAGTGGGAACGGTCCTTAGGGACAAGAGAATGTCAATGAGATAGAGCTGGTGGGGAACAACAGTTGGACAAGGGGCTCTAAGAGAGGATTATATGAGACTTGAGGCCAGCAGACCCTGAGGCTCAGCTTTTGTCCACCCCTGGCTGCTGCCTCCTCACACAAGCATGACTGCAGCCTGGCTGAACACTCAGATTTCAGATGGGCTGAGGCTGTGTGGTTCTTCCTTCCCCTGTTTTCTGCTGTCCCAGAAGTCAGTTCTAGCACAGGGCAGCTGTGTGTCTGAGAGAGCTTCAGTTGCTCATACCCCAGGTGGTGCCGAGCACTGACCCCAGTCTAGACCAGAGGCTTATCAAATGCTGTTCTCAAACAAGTACAGGTATGTTTGTATTCTGAGACATCTGTGATGTGTCTTACAAGTTTTCTGTGTCTGTAATAGTACTCCTTAGTGAGTATTGAATTGAATTGACATGGTCTGTCTTCTGGTACCCTGGGTTTTATAAGGCAGGATCTCCTTGCAATTAAGATATTTAACCTGCAGCAGAGACTTGCCTGGGGACTCAGTACCATGTTATTACATTCTGTTGGGGGAATTGACTGTAGATAACATGAAAATCCCTAAGCAGACTTTTAGGGTTTAGGTTTATGACCTTGAATGATACTACAAATGTACAGATTTAGTATATCTTATCCATACATATTTTATTAATTATAGAAAAATATGTAACATATGTTGTTTGGCAGTTAAATAATTTTAAAAATTTAAATTTAATGTGTACGGGTGCTTTGTTTGTGAGTGTGACTGTGCACCATGTGTGTCCCTGGTGCCCACGGAAGCCAGAAGAGGGCACTGGATCCTCCAGAACTCTGGAGTTATAGACAGTGTTGTTAGCTGCCATGTAGATGCTAGAACTTGAACCTGGGTCCTCTGGAAGAGCAGTGAATGTTCTTAGCCACTGAGCCATCTCTCTACCCTCCTTCAAAATACACACACACACACACACACACACACACACACACACACACATACATACACACATACACACACACACACTTGAGACAAGGTCTCTTTTACATACCCGTGGCTGTCTGGATCTCACTACATAGACCAGGCTGATCTCAGACTCACAGAGATTAACCTGCCCCTGTCCCCTGAGCACTGGGATTAAAGGTATGTGCCACCATGCCCAGCTTTGAAGTAATTTTTTAATTGTCATATGAAGTAGTTGGTTTGCATTTGGAGGTCTTTGTTGCTATCTTGCCCAGCCAATGAGTTGATGTCTCACATATTATGAATATGTGTGTGTGTATGTTTAATAGGGTTTCATGTAGCACAGGCTGGCCTCAAACTTGCTATGTAGTTGAGGATGAACTTGAATACTCAAATGCTAGAATTACTGATGTGCAGTTCTCTGCATACTTGATGTGTCTCCACGGTCATTGTTTTTGGATAAATAATTGTCTTTTCAGGGGGAAAATAGGATTTCATTTACTTTAAGAAAATCTTCCAGAGAATGAGGGAAGTCCCCACCTAATGAGCTCCTTATTTCTGAGTAAGATGTGAAGGGGATCCATGATGGCAGATGTGCAGCTACAGGTAGGAGTGTGTGTAAGGGGGGTGGATTGGGTGGCAGGTGATAGGTACAATGGATTTGGTGGTTGCTTCAGAAGAATGCTTTTCCATGTTTGGCTTAGAAGAGTCAGGCTGAGTGGATAGCTGGGAAGCCTGGCTGTCTGAGATCGGCTAGGCCTGATCCCTACTAATTGATGTTCTAAGAGATGACATAGGGTGAAGCCAGCCTTCTCTCATGGACATAGAGACCTGCCTGGGCTTGGAGACCCTGCAGTGCATCCCGAATAGGCTGAGATAATCAAAGGGAGGGTTAGGCCCATTCCTATGACCTGAGCTTACACAAGACCAGTGTGGTGTGTCTAAATCTGTTGGTCTCATAAGGGGCAGAAACACCGGGAACAAGAGTTTTTAGTTCTTTCATCCCCACCCTTGTCTCCTTTCCTCTCAGGTAGCCTCACATAGGTTCACTTAGACTGTGTCATGACCAGCAGCGTACTTTTATGATCACACACATATGCATGAGCTTTCATGGCCCTACCGTGCTTTTAGAAGCATGTAAGACTTTTGGACGCCTAGATGCCTATGCCTGTCATTACCATACTTATTCTCATGACTATGCACATGCTCACATACCATCACATATAGTCATAAGCTCTGACACAGAATTATAACCACATGGTAATAACTTACTGTTTATGTTTATGACATGTTTATACACTCACTGTTTTTATTTTTATTTATTTATTTTTTTGAGGCAGGGTTTCTCTGTGAGGCAGGGTTTTTCTGTGTAACCTTGGCTGTTTGGGACTAACTTTGTAGACCATGCTGGCCTTGAACTCACAGCTCATTCACACATTCATTCACACATTCAGGCCCCAATTGTTATGACCATACTCTGATGTTTATGACATGTTTATATACCCACTGGTTTTCATGTACACTCTCAGGCCCCAATTGTCATGGCTACACTCTTACCACATTCTCATTCTCTTCCCTATCTCTTTCATGGCTACACATATATACCAAGCATTCTCATGACTATATGCT